ATGGACATATCTATTTTTGTGTTTGTTCTCCCTCTGCCAGAAATATTCTTCTCACAATCTCTAAGCAAATATCACCGCTTTAGAAAAGCCTTTTGTAGCCACTCTATAAAATATTTCCTTCTGTTTCTCTCAGTCATGTTTTATCCACGTATCCTGATTTTTGCATAGCACTTTTACCATCAACTATATTATACATTACTTGCTTACTGACTCACTGGAAAGTAAGCTATACAAGAACAGGAATTTTATTGACTTCACTGTTCTATCCTCAACACTTGGAAGAGTCAATAGCATATAACAGGTATTCAATAAATATTGGTGGAATGATTGAATAGATGGCTTAATTAATTGTAACTTTTCATCAATCATCCTTCAAAAATCTAGACTATAACTTAGATCTACAAGAGAATTCTAGAGTGCATGAACACATTTTTTATTATAATTGTCAAGCCCAAGAAACTGAAAGGATACTTGAAATGTTTTTAGATTATCAGGATTACTCTTTTTGTGGTAAGTGCAAGCAAGTATTTTGACAATCAGAAATCTTCCACTTTTAGATAAATATGTTTGCTAGACATGACTTGAAAATTTAGTTATATGAGATATTATTACTAATTACCTCTTTAATTCTCCACTCTTCATGGAACTAGGGTGACATTAGCAATTTCCTTTTCTCAAGTATATGATGATTCCATTGACAAAGTCATTTTGGCTAAAATCACTAGGAAAATGCTCATTCATTAATCTGGAAACCTGTAGCAATTTATGTACATAATCTGTCTTCTTTGCTTAGCATAGAGCTTAAGGAGTTCACAGGTGGGCTGAGGGGTTTCCATGAATCCCCTGGAATTATAAAATCTAGGATACTTGCATATGCATTTTAAGGGAGAAGTTTACTACCATATGCCCAAAGAAATCTGTGATACCAAAAGTTTTAGACTATTTTTGTTTAAATGACCACATGCAACTGATAAAAACACAAAATGTTGAAAGCCAAATACCAATAACGAAGTCTTATTGAACTTGTAATACCTGGTTCTTATCGGTCTTAGAAATCTCAAAGCCCTTTGCCTAGAATTAGAAAGTTAGTAGAATTATTTGATAACAGAAAACAAGAGCATTCGATGAGAATCTTAAGATATAAATTTTCATTCACAAGAGATCCTTGAAGAAGAAATATATGTTAATTTCTGTGGGCTTTGAATGAAGAATTATTTCATCCTTTTAGTTGATGGGGCTGAAAAATGTTTGAAAACTTTGTTCATAAACTTAAAATAACTTTCTAAAGCACTTAAACTTTTAAAATACTACCTTTAGGTTATTGTTTATAAGTTATTACTCTAACACTTATGATTTTACTTATACTGGGACTATACTGCAACTTACATTTTTTTCAGGTAACACTACTCAAAAAAATAATATTCTAAGATTTTTCATCTTGCTCCTGTAACATGCCATACTTGGAGGCATTGCAGGAAATCCAATGATATTCAGTAACTGATCAGTAACTGTTCTAGTAATGTATGAAATGCAATACATCTTTAAAGCAGAATTAGACAAGAACAGCTATGTTGGAAACCAGGCAAAGAAAGGCATGAGGGCTAGTTGTGAATCCATTCTGAAGTGGTCTTGTCATGCCTTAGAAACAGTGCATTTTACTAAAAATACTGTACTACAAATTTTCAAGAACATCCCATGCCCTTATAAGTCTCCTTCACTCTTCTTCCTCCAAGTCTACCTTCTTCTCCCTCCATATTAAAATGGCCCCTTCTTCTTCTTTGCAGAGAGAATTCTACCCATCTCTCCTAGTCCCGTCCTCCCAGGAAGTCTTCCTTTCTACTTATTTTGCTCCATTCATTTCTATCCATAATTATATTGGCCTTGTGTTGTAATTTAACAGTTTCATATATACATGTCTTATTTTCTGGTGGAATTAGAGAATCCTAAAGGTCAATGCCTACAGTAGGGAAATAAAAATATATAGATATTATCTCTACTACTTAGAATGACTCTTATAGAAACAATTAGCTGAGTGTGGTAACACTTGCCTATAATCCCAGTTAGGAGGCTGAGGCAGGAGAATTGCTTGAATCTGGAAGGTAGAGGTTGCAGTGAGCTGAGGCAGCACTACTGTACTCCAGCCTGGGTGATGGAGCAAGGCTCTGTCTCAATAAATAAATAATAGTACAGCATTACAATAACACAACTTTTCTAGATGTTTATTTCTGTAGTAAACTGGCAATTACAATGGTAGCTCCTTCAAGATTTAAGCATTAAGTACCAAGCCAGTCCCAGAATCAAATAATATTGTCTTTGGCACAAATTCCCATTTAATTGGAATAAAATAACATTTTTAGCAGAGAATAAGAAGTGGGTACTTGGGATCAATTTGTAAGGTGTGACCAATACACCAGGAAGCCATTTATTTCTGATTGGTTAATTTATAGAGAGAGGGAAAGAGAAAACGCCTTAATGAAAACTCTCTTCTGCTCTATCATCACCATTTTATTTTGACTTTTGATAGACAGTCTTTTTTCTGGTTCTTTGCCAATACATGTACTTACTACATTTCAGCCACTTGTATCTTTAGGCCAAAACCCCATTGAGTTGTTCCTCAGATATTTACTTCTCTATTTCTAAGGTTAATTTTATTTAGCAATATTAATGAATATAGCTTTAAAACATGTATAGATGGATTTCACCTTCTTGGATTCATCTAGAACCAGAAACAATTCCTACCAGCTTCTTTCTCCTAACATACTTGGTTTAAAGTAGGCCCCCTTTAAATGTTTTGCAACAGAATATTTCTTATTTATCCCAAACCATGTTTATCTTTCTCATTCCTCTAGAAAGTGAATTGATATGGTGCCTAACAGCAAGAATGTGCTCACAGAAAGCACTGAGTTGGCAGGTGATGTCAGGTTACAGTAACTAAGTAGCTTATGCTTAAAGAGGATGATGCTTTCATATTTCATTATCTTGCTCAAGGGCTAGGCATACAAAAATTTCAACAAAATAGTAACAATAGTGTTGTTGGGTACGGGGTGGGGGGGGCAGGAGAAATGTAGGCAGATTGCAAAGGAATATAAAATATGACAGGAAAGTACTTTAAGAAGCAAAATGTTATAATAAAAGAGGAGTTCAAAGTTCTAACATAGGCTGTTTCTATGATACTAGCCACTTTTAAAAAGACACATTAACCAGTCAATAGTGAAAGCAAAGTCAAAAGAAGCAATATAGCCTAGTGTAAATCAATTCTACACTGTTTTGAAACCCTAATGATGAGAACCCACGTTTATTGACCACCTAATTTGTGTCAGGCATTTGGTAGCATTATTTTCTTTGATTCTCACAACAATCCTATAGAGCACATAATGCTACTATATCACATTTACAGATGAAGAAACCGAAGATCCATAATTTGCTTATGATCAAATGGCTCATAAGTGGCAGACCCAGAGCCGGGGTCCATGTGACTCAATAGTCTATGCTCTTCATCACTAGACTATAAATTAGCTGTTTGGATTCTGGAAATGTTTCTATCTCTAATTGTTAAACCCTTCCCACTATGCATGTTTTGATTCAGAGAGGCTGATCTGCAATTGATTTTTCCTACTTTGCTTTTGAAGTGTTTGCGTTGCACTCATTCCTAACTCACAGGAATGGCAGCTCAGAGTGAAAGACAGAGCTCTGGACTGGCAGACTGCAAAACTGACCTCGCCACTCACCTGTGGGCACCTGGTCAAATTGGCTCCTCCTCTTGAAACTGTCCAGTTATAAATTGAGACTAATATTTGCCATACTCTGTAATGTGTTTGTAGAATAAAACACACGACAGTATATAAAAGAACTGTGAAAAAGACACAAAATGAATAAGCAAATATAAACTACTGTCATGACTCATGATTTCAAAATCTAAAGGACTACATACATGAAGAATTAAAGTGGTTTCAAACTGTAAACAATATGGTTTTTTAAAAATTTGGGGCACATTTGTCCTTTTTTAAAATTTATCAGAGTACCCACAATAGTTTCAATAATGTTATTTTTTTAAAGAGAAAGAAAATGATGGAGAGTAAACATGAAAATCAACATAGACATTTATCTCGCAGTTACACATCAGTGAGTTCATGTAAGCCCAAGTAGGATTAAATCTCAGTGTTTGTTTTCTACTGAGACTTGTTTGCCACTATGGGTCAGAACCTGCAGTACGAAGGAGGGCTGAGGACGGCTTCCTTCTTTCCATGCTCATGGTTCCTCTTGCTTACTACCAAGCCTTTGCTCTTCCAAGGTTGACTCTAGAGAGAGAAGAGATAAGGGAGGCAGAGCACAGTCTAGTACAGAAAGTATCATTGCCAAGAACACATGGATACAGGGAAGGGAACATCACACACAGAGGCCTGTTGGGGGCTGGGGGGCTAGGAGATGGGCAGCATTAGGAGAAATACCTAATGTAGATGATGGGATGATGGGGTGCAGCAGACCACCATGGCACGTGTATACCTGTGTGACAAACCTGCACATTCTGCACATATACCCCAGAACTTAAAGTATAATAAAAATAATAATAATAATTGCCATTTTGAATGGCATGAGATGGCAAAAAAAAGAAGAAAGAAAGAAAGAAGAAAGAAAGAGAGAGAGAAAGAAAGAAAGAAAGAAAGAAAGAAAGAAAGAAAGAAGAAAGAAAGAAAGAAAGAAGGAAAAAGAAAGAAAGAAAGAAAGAAAGAAGAGAAAGAAAGAAAGAAAGAAGGAAGGAAGGAAGGAAGGAAGGAAGGAAGGAGAGAGAAAGACAGAGAGAGAGAGAGAGAAAGAAAGAAAGAAATGAAGGAAGGAAGGAAGAAAAAGTATCATTGCCTTCTGATATTGGAGGCCCCTGGGCAGCAGCTCTTTAAAAAGGACCCCCTCTTTACTTGGTGCTTACGTGGGTTCCTTGAAGATTCCTGTCTTTGGAATCTCCTCATTTCTTACCACCTGTGCAACCCATGGGAATCTGGTGGTCAGCTCTCAGCTTCCTTTCTGCTGAAATCCTGTTGTCTCCTTTAACTGGTCCTATTGGACGGATGGCCAACCTTTAGTCCATATATTTGCTTTCTTTGTCCTACTCTTCACAGCTACTCAATTGCTTCCCAGTGCAGCCCTCTCTGCTCACTCCTTTCCCCTGCCAGTCTTTTTTGGAAATGAATAAGTCACATGGACTCCAACTATAGAAGATGTCAAGCTCTCCAGGATGTCCCTGAAGCCTGTAGGCTGGAGGTAGGGCTGTAGCCCCACCTCATACCCATACCCTTCTTGGTGGTAATAAAGATTTCCACCACAGCATCAACTTTTTCTAAAGACTCTCTTCACAAATTCTTGTCCACACACTGCCCCATTTTGATATGTTTGATCTGACTAAGGGGTGCCGTAACTATGGAACTGCTTAGTAAAGATTTATTTGGTAAAGTTCACGCACAGTCACTTTGGTATCTGATATGTATCATATTGCCCCATCAGTTGAAACTGAGTCCTAAAGATTTCTACTTCGACATCCTTTCCCAGATGATTATTTGCAGCAACCTCTCCCCAGATGAGGGAGACCTTCTCTTGCTACCAATGCACAAACATTATACAGCCACAACAAGTGGCTGGGTTGATCTTTCACAAAGAGGCTAGTGACTCGGTGTGGACAAGAGGGAATAAGATAGAGCCCATATATCCCTGTCTATTGTCCTCTTCATGGGTAGTTTTTAAACATTAGTGCGTACAAGTTCAATACATCATACTAGGTCATGACAGTGACAAAATAAGTAAATATAATGTCGGCATTGCCTTCAAGGGACTTCCAGACTAATATGAGATCAAATGGATGCACAAATACTACAAAAGAGTAAGTTCAAAGTGAAGAAAAAAAATGGAGAAGGCAGAGAGAGAGGAAGTGAACAAGAGAGGCAGAGAGAGACAGAGAGAGGTGTTAAGTATGAGCTGAATTTAAAACTACCAAGCTCTGGCTCTTTGGAACCCTGGTGCACAAGGCCCTTTGTGAATAGGAGGCACCTGGCTCCCTCCAGATTAAGCAGAGGGAATAGGGCTTAAGCCGATGCTCATGACATCCTCTAGAGAAACAAAGAACATTTCCTCTCTCTACCAAAAAATAAAATTAAACAAGAGTATGTTTTGAAATTCCTGGTTTCAGAAGCAAAATGTACACCTTGATCATTGACTTTTGCCTTTAAGCACTCCAGCTGACTTCTCCTTTGCCCCTATCAATTGCAGGAGGAAATAAACTAACAAATCAGTCTTTCCATCTAAACTGGGCTTGGATTTGTTTGGAGAAAGAGTACTACATCGTGGATGAAGACTCCACATTCTTAGAAGTGACCCTTATACGCAGAGGACACCTTGGAGAAACATCATTTATCAGTAAGTAACTTTGGATTGGTTGTTGGTAAAAGGTTATGGAAACATGAAATCTAGGACCAAAAATGATTATAAGAAAGTATACTGAAAGAGAATAAGTAACTGATCTGGAGAAATCTCTAAAAGAGTGTGTGTGAAATTGTACTGGGGTTTTTGTTCCATGTGAGTTATGGGGCTTAGATGTATATCAATTTTTATCATTCTTCCCGTTTTCCTCTTTCTAGCAAGTTACATCTTTCCCTCTTTTATAACTCACCAGGAAAATTAAGACACTTCAGAGCCATCCCACAATCCTCAAGTCACTCAATTTACTTCAGAGTTGTTTTAAGCATATATTTTTAGCCTCTGTTTCAGCTATTTCTTTTGAAAAATTATTTATGAGTACACGATGCACTACTGTGTTTAGTTCTAGATATTTCTTTTGATTATGTATAATTGTTTTTAACCTTGCTAGTAGGTTATAAATTCCTTGGGGACATGTACAGTGTTGAATTTCTTTATCTTCTACAAGGGCCTAGTACAAAAATATGTCCTCTTGGAGTAAACACATACATAATGCCTGCCTAGTATATCTCATTATCATTAATAATTAACAATAATTGTTCTAATAAGCCATTGAATTTTCATAACATCTTTAGCTGCCAGAACTTTCAGAAATCATTTTGCCTTTATTTACATAATCTATTAAGAAGACAGATAGGGTTATATTGTCTTCATTTTACAATTAAGCATTGAGTTTCCCTGACACACAGGACCCCACTCAGAGCCCAGGCAAAATATCAAAACTGTTGGAGAGAAGCCAGGGAAGAAATGAGCTGGAGAGAAAACAAGCAATCAAGAAAAGGCAAGCTTTCTTCAGTCTCTGCTCCAGGCCCAGGGCTCCTAAAATGGACTGTTCTCTTAGGAGAAGGGGTCAGCCAAAGAGCGCCCTGATTTCTGGGTGGCCCTCAGCCTTAGCCTGCATTCCAGGTTACTTCATCAACACATGGTGGAACTCGCTGCCAGGAACCTTCAGCTGAAATATGCTTCCCTCCTCTCGTCAAGCCCTGCTTCCACAATTCTTTATCTCAAGGCCTTCTTGTGAGTTTGGGTTAATATGTCAAGAAGTATTTTTGTATCCTGACTCAAGAAAAAAAAAGTTCATCTGCTCAGAATCATGTGAATGTTTGCCAACTAACTAAACCCTTTGGAATACCTTCTGGCCACCCTGTCTAAACTCACCCCTGCCACGCTCTATATCTGTGTCCTGCTGTATGGTTCTTCATGCACTTGCCATAATTGGCATGGATCATGTGTCTATTTGTCTCCCCAAGTAGATTTCAGCTCCATAAGGTCAGGAACTACATCTTGGGTTATGTCCAACCCTACGAACAGTATGGGGCATATGGTAGTCACCAATATTTGTTGTTAAGTAAACTACAGCCATCCTTTTTTTTCTGTAAATACTCTTTAAAATCACAATACTACTCAGCATCACAGACAGGAACCTCTAAAGCATCTCACCCAGACACTCCAGGAAGTGCTCCTGTTGCCCCTACCCCACCCCAGGCTAATAGTCGATGCACAGGATCCAGAAGAAAAAAGGAACAAAACTGTGGAGTTTGACTTCCTGCTCTGTCACTTAATCTTTTTTGTGACTTTCAAAAGAGTTCAGTTTCCTTATATGTCAATAAATTATCCACCTCACTATGTGCTTGAAGATAATCTGTAATAATGATTATAAATCAATCTAGCACGGTTCCTTGCATACCGTAGATGCTCAACAAGTGATAAATACCATTCTATAGCATTCATCAAACACAATTAAAATCACCTGTTTATCTGTTTGCCTCTTTCAAAATGGAAAATCTCTTGAGGGTAGTGGTGGCTGTGCCTAATTCTGTGTGACATCCTAAGCACATCACAAAGAGACAATGCTCACCAAATATTAAGTAAATAGCCATGTGCCTGCTTCATTCCTATAGCAGCGCCACTGAGCTCTACCTAAGCTTTGGCTGAGGACATCATTCACTCTTCTTTATATTCTCCACTTCCAACATGTGGCCAAAGGAGGCTCTTCCTAAATACTGGACCTTCACTCTCAGTCACCAAACTGATTATGCAGGTTTTCTTCAGCAATTTTGCAAGGGCAACACTAACTAGTCTACCTTTGAAATTATTTTCATTTTCTATATCTTTGGGTATCTTTTACAAGGTTTCAGATTATTTGAGAATGAGGCCAAGAAATTGCATGAGGGGCTAATAATCTTACTTTATATCAAGTTTTCACCATAGCTGGTGTCAGGTCACCATATGTGATTTCACACATCCAAACAACTGCAGAATGTAACTAACCCTTATAATGACATCTGAAATGGTGAGGCATAAGTATTGCTTTCTGGGTATGTTAAAATCAAAACCAAACAATATTAGAATGCTACTTGAACAGTTTGGGTTGAGAGGAAGATCTGTTTAGTCTTGATGGGGGATGGGGTGATACCTTTCACCATTGTATCTCACATTGGGTATTTTAACACTATTTTGCTGTTGTTGTTTAGTCTCTTCAGTAAGTTGCTAATTACTGTTTCTTAACAGAGCTCAAATCTCTTGTCTCTCTCCATTTTCTCCAACATTGCATTAATTGCCTGAAAAATTACTAAGAATTCTCTTACAATCAAAAAATCACTAAACATATGAGGAAACAAGCCACCACAAATAAGAATCTGCATGAGAAAACAACTTTCAGGCTCATTCTTCCAAAGGCTGTAGGAATTGAAATTATCAGATACAAAATGGTCACTCAAACATTTTTATTGAATACCTACTACATGCCAAACACTGTCCTAATTCCCAGGAATTCATCAGTGAACACCATGGCCAAAGATGTCTACCTCCATAGAGCTCGTATTCTAGTATCTTTCTCTTAAGACTGTGAACTTTCTGGGGATTGGGACAATTTATTATTCATCTCTGAATCCCCAGCATCTGGTAGAGTTTGGCACGTCAGAGGATCTCAGTAAACGTTGCTAGAATAAATAAGTTAAATAAGACTGTTCTTTGTTCTCTTCTTTCTGTCAATCCCCTTTCTGTGGGAATTCACTCAAGGTGGTGGCAAAAATATTAAGGGAAAAATATTAGAGAAAGTTATAGAATGTAGTCTAAAACCCTTTTGGAAGGCCTAAAGGTTTTTTCTATAGTTCTTGGCTGAAGGTAGAACTACTGTATGTAATTGATGTGCTTATTTAAAATTAAAGAGATGTATACTAATCCCCCACCTCCCACTTTAGGGAATGTTCTTCTACATCTGTTTGCAGGTGCCAGAGAGATTAAGGTGCTAATACAAAGGAATATGAGTAGTTTACCTAGCTAGCTTGTTTACTCATGTGGCCTTAAAGCTAACCTTTGAGCCAGGTGGCTGTCTCGAAAGGAAATTGACCAAGGAAATTACCTACTAATATTGCTTGCTTTAAGCATCAGAACCTGTCCTTTAATCAGCCTCTAGTGGTGTTGACTCAAGCCTTTGTCAATTAAACTTTACTAAATAAATGCGAGTCTCACTAGCTGGGGAGGGCTGGCAGCTGCAGCTGTTTACACAACCCTCCAAGGAGTCTGTAAGCAGCCACAGAGCCTCAACTGAACTAGCAAATCATAATATCTGTGTGACAGTGTACTTTATTCATCTGTCATTGAGTCAAAGTCTGCAGGACAGACCCCCACATGTGGTGACACCAACACCCTTCCATGTTTTCTTCTCAATTCTATTCAATTCTGCTTACTTACACTCTCTTAGTCAAGAAGGATCATTTACAAAAAGCAATTTCTATGGTATCTACTTTTGTTAATAATAGAAACCACTTTGAAAGGAGAACATGCCTTCAGTCACTTTGACTATGTTTATAGTTTTCTGATTTTTATTCAGGCATTGGTACCAAAGATGAAACTGCAAAAAAAGATAAAGATTTTAAATGGAAGAGCAATAAACAGGTCCAATTCAATCCTGGACAGACTACAGCCACATTGAGAGTGAGAATTATACCTGACAATGAATATGAGACTTCAGAGACCTTCCACATCATTCTATCAGAACCTCTCATGGCTGCACTGGCATTTCCGGAAATGGCAACAGTTGAAATTGTAGACCCTGGAGATGGTATGTGACATTGATTGATTTGCTTTATTAACCAGTACAGGTTCGTGACTCCATTTCCAGCATTCATACTTCCCTCAGGCTCTGTAAGCCACTAGATGCGTTCATATCCATTTAGGATTTAAAGTAAAGTAAATCACTTTATAGACAGTAATTTTTCATTTGCTCTCACAATTTTTGAAAAAGAATATAGGAGATTAAATAGGATCTTTACCAGCATTTCTGTAATATACATATACAAGTCCTTACTGCATGCTTTCTGCACACCATAGGTATGAAGCACCTCTGCTCCTAGATGGCTAATTCTCAGGACTCATTCCAGGGCCCCCATCTTTTCACAGCCAGATCAAGTGGGGACTTAGAAATCCATTGCCCTAGATGTGGCTCCTGGGTAGCAGCCAACTCATTCGTTTTAACATGTGTTCCCTGAAGTTTTGTTATTATTGTACATCATATCCTTGAATTCATTGGTTCATTTTATGCATTCATTCTTTCAGCAAATATCTCCCCAGATAAATTAGAAGGAAAAGAAATCTGAGCAGTAATCATGCTTTGCTGTCCCTTTTTTGGAAGTAGAAGAATATTCCCTAAAGGGAGCAGGGGATTCGTATTCATCACTGAATTGTAATTAACCACATTGATTCTACACAGTAGTTAAAAGAGGTCATGTATCACCTGGAAGTGCATAGCTTACAACCCAGGAGCAGGACTTAAGCTCCACAAGGCTCGATGAGGAATCCCCTGCATTAGCATGTTCTGAACTGCATACAAGAACATTAGTGTAATAGACATCCACAGGGGATGGAAAGCTTTTCATCGTCAAACAAGTCTAGGAACCATTTTGAACTTCATCCCTCTTTTGAGGCATCATAATTCATGTTAGCATATTAAGGATTCTGAGAAACTCTCCTTTAAAGAAACACATTTAATTGTGTTTAATTTTTCCAAACTGGACTATGGATATTTTTCTTTTTTTTTTTTTTTCGTCATCTTCAAGGAATGTCTTTTAAAATCTCTGAGTTTTGGTTTTGTTACAACATAATTTGAGGAGTACTATTCTATATGCTCTGCTCTTTAGCAGATACAAAAGAAGTAGAAAACACTGCCCCACAACTGGTCTAATGAATCAGATATTAGACCAGTTTTGTTGAACACAACACTTTGATACATGAATCAGTTATGAAGTAAATGTAAGACACATGTGGAAAGGAGAAGAACATAGACAGATCATCATGGTCCCAAGTAATTAAGGCTCATGAAAGAAGCAGAGTTTGAGCTGAATCTTGAAAAATAAATGGGATTTTTATTAGAAGAGCATATAGAAACAGGCTTTCCAGATTTGAAAAAAATAGAGGACATGACTGAATAACTTAGTCCTATTGTATCAATTTTTTCACACAACATTGATAACTTTAATTTACTTTTAGCTTCTTCCATGATGCCAACGTTTTGAATAGAAAGATGTGAAGATAGCAGACTACCACACGGGTAAAATGGAGGAAAGAAAATTATCACTGGTCTTTTCTGCCTGTGACTCAGGGCCAGTGTTTTCCTGGAGGTTGATGCTTGTATCTGTTGAAGCTAATGTAGGCAGGAAAGTAAATAAGAAAAAAATTAATATGTAATAGCTAGA